ATTTAATTTTCCTTACTAAAGGAAGTATTCCTTACATCTTGAGAATTGCAAAAGAAATGAATATATCCACACCCTGTCAAATTTCTGGTATTCAATTTATAGAAGACTTAGTGCAGTTAAAAGCGTGGACTTTCAAGAGTAAGTATACGTTAATTATTCATTACAGAATAATAATTAAAGAGAGGTTTTCTAATGATCTCAATCGGCAAAGTTTCAGTTTTATTTCGAAATATTACCAGGAAAATATGTAAACAAATTAACGAGCAATTATTTATTGTGACATCGTTACAATGCCGCGCTGCAATTTTTAATCGTATTTTTAATTTATTCAATTTAAAATACTGTACATGTTCTCCATCTGAGATTTGTAGTGTCTGTACTGTACAGTACATCATACTTTTTTCGGTAATAAAAAGTCATGCTGGTCGACTTTGTAACTCCATTCAGGGAAAAATTTTTGAATTGAAGTAACGTGACTTCCATTCTATTTCGGAAATTCATATATAGTTAATTGGAGTTTCCTGTTCCTAATCTTTCATACATTTCCTTGACTTTCATCTATCTCCGTTTTCGAGATTAAGGAAGGACAGACAAACGAATGACAGGGAAATTTATAGATCTATAATTTTTACTTTCCCGGCTGTTTTAACAGAAGGAAGGTGTGGCGATCCACGAAAAATAACCTTATATATTCTTACAAGTTTGGGCTTAAGACACCTTGAAACGCCGAAAAATGATAACATATTCGGGGATAAAATTTCTGTGTTTATGGATGTTAGCGTGTGTGTGGTTAGGGGGCACAATTTTGCTCACTCAGTTTGAAGCTTAATAACTTCTGGGCGTCAGAACCTTAAATAAAACTCTTAACGTCAGAACCTCAAATAAAAGGCTGACGTTTTGATCATTTTTAATATTGTGAGTTTTTTACCTATACATTATTTGTTTTTATTGAAGGTTTTCTTCAACAATGTTACGGGTACTTCTGTGGTTGTGTTAATGGATTGTTAGATAGACTCAAAAATTAAAAAAAATTTTTCGTACATAGTCTGAACTTTCTAATTGAGATAATGGGGGTTGTGTATATCTCCATTAGGGTCGGATATGACAACGATTTTACTCGTTATTAGCATTTAACAATTTTTTTTTATAAAATTCATCCCTACTCTCAAAATTAAGCGTTTTGTCATTTTATAATAGTTAAATATATATAAGGTTTTTAAAATAAAATATAATTACGGATGGAGCCACCAAAATATTGCTGGGAAAGTTTAGCAACTCGTTGGTGGTTTATTTCATATTGCAGCTCAATAACCCCAAATTGTATATTACTGTTTTCATTTTTTTCTCTACAAATACTCGGTTTTATATTTTAGTAGAGACAAATTACTTTCTGATACTTTTTTTAGATATATGAAAATTTTGCTGAAAATAATAGCACAAAACACAGTAGATAAAAATAATATTCATATTCTAACGTCTTTCAGGTGACTATTTGCAGGAAATAAATGACGTTTTTTGGAGAAAATAAATTTACTTAACGAGCGAAAATATTCTGCATTTATGTCATTATTTTTCTGATATTATATACCGTAAATATATATATTTTTAAATATAAAAATTAAATCAATAAAGAGTTTATATTTTTAAAGAGTTGTAATAAACAGCTTTACGTTTAATGAACTAGCGATTAAAAAAATGTTTTTAGCTGAAAGTATACTCAATTACGTATCAATAACATTGAACATTTATATTTAATGTTACAGATTTTTACAAATGTACTGCTTTTCCAGGCATGCACATTAACACTTATGATATAGTGTCTGTAGGAAATGTTATCCTAATTAAAAACATTTGGACAGACGCTTTAATTTGTTTACTGGACCCAACTGTTGGATTGGACTTCATGTATAATGCAATAGAGATGTTTCCTACTTTATTATGCAATCTGTCATTGTTTAATCCACGTTCAATTACAGCTGCCTACAAATTATACTGCGAGTACAATTTCTTCGTTTGTTTCTGTCTTATGAGCACTATGAGGGCCATTTTTAAACTATTCATGAATTCTACCAGATTCACAGTACGGGTAGTCAGACAGTGAAAATTACTGAAAAAAACATATCTTCATTACTCGACTCCTGAAAGTTTCTAAGTTCTTCAGGAATTTAAACTGCATCCTTAGAGTCGTTACCTCTAATGACTTGAGAAAAATCTATTTCATTATAATAATTAAAACTATGTAAGCGGTGTTAGTTTACAGCATAAGAATTGTTTTTACTATAAACTAAGAAATTGCGAAATTCTACATCAAAAATTATACTTTTGTATGAAGGTAATGATTTAAACTATAACTTGCATATGATTAATTAATTAAAAATGACATGAATTGATAAACAGGTGAAATTTCAAAATTCGCTTGCAACGGATTCCATTATTAAATTATGAAATCGAAAGAATTAATGACATTTGTTGCACTTCAAATTAAATTAAATAAAAATGCGTATTCATTTCTTTTCAGTGTTAGATGCTTTCGGGAAACCTGAAGTTGTTTTCAATGGTGCCAATTGGATAGGAGGTGATTATGATCAGTGCCTAATGGTTGACAATACGGAAGAGATGGAAATCGAACAAAAGTCGCTTAAAATACGAGGAAAATACTGTTATATCGGTCTTGAAACTGAAAGAATTAACAGTAAAGTATTAGATATTATGATGACTCGTCTGACGAATAGCTCACTTGCGCAATTTTTTCAATACTTTGTTGTAAGTACTGGATTTAACTGAAATTTAAATGTGTTCAAATAGGTACAAAATAATCGAAATAACCCAAGTCTAAGAATGTATTCTATTTTGCTTCTTAAACACTATATAATGTAATTAATATAATGTATAAAAAAACACATAATTTACAAAATATCAAAAAACATATAATATTTACAAAACATACCTCGAACACAACTCTTAAACCAGACTGTTACATATGTACAGTACAAGATAGGTATATGATGTATTATTTTTGTCTATAAAGAAAAAATTGGTTAATGTTACTCTAGGTATCGAAGATGACGGCGCTTCCGGTAATCTCGTATCAGATTACCAAGCGATGTTTGCAATAGAGGGCATTGTATTACAACGCGGTGCGATATGCAAATTAATACGACTAAATCGACAAGGGGAATGTTAAAGGTAGATTTGCGTTAAAAGTGTTGGTTTGATGTAAAGTTGTTAGATAATTTCGTTTTCAATCAATATAATTATAGACTAATTTAACACTTTTAAAAGATTAACATTTATTTTGTTGGATATTCTTTATAACAGTTTATTCCAAATGAGTAATTTCGACATTAACTCTGAAGAGTTTTGGCTGGGATGCACCTTTCACGATTTTTCCGTCTTCTCGAATATGAGTATTTTGAATTGGGTTTGTATCCCAGAATCGATAAAGGGTTCAAATTTGCAGTAAAACTAGGATTGCAGCATGTTTTCGATGTATTTACGAAATGTTCAAAACCTTGCAAAGTAGTTTATCGTAATGATAGAAAATCCTGTGCACTGAGATGTCAAAAATGCTGGAACAACAGTTAAGCATTTGATGGTACTTTAAAGGTAAATTCGGTAAAATTCCCTGGAGTAACATATTGCCGTTTATATGGCAATATGTTACTCCAGGCATTATCTAGCATTGGAATGCTCAACAACTACATCAGCTAATGCTACCGGAATTTCTAAGAAGGCCACCGTCCACTAGTCGAACCATGTCCGATTCGTGATGCTATTCGCTTTGCACAATATCCTATCATTTAAAATTAGAGGTCCGAATGAAACCGTCGAAATAGACGAGACCGTTATCTGTAAGCGCAAATACGAAAAAGGCCGTAAACTTAAAAGCACAAAGTTGGTAGTAGGCGGAATATGCCGAGAAGATAAAAGCTGTTTTATATGTCAAGTAAACGATAGGTCGGAAATTAGGCTTAATTGGATCATCTGTAAATTTGTAAATTCAGGCAGCACAGTTTCGACAGATGAATGGAAAGGATACAACCATATAAATGACTTGGAAGGCATAGAAATTACCCATAAGACAGTTAAGCATTCGGAGAATTTCGTAAACCCGAAAACGGGATCATACCCAAAACATAGAAAGATTATGAGGATACTTGAAAAACAAAAAAAAAAAAAAACCCTACCGAAACATTACACAGAAGACCTATCAGATTCGTACATGTACTCCCAAAAAACCAGGTGAACGTTTCTACATTTTTGTACAACATTTAAGTAAAATATATCCCGGATCCGGAAGATTACCATTATGGAAAGAGCCTGAGACTGTGCCTGCTGCTCTTGTTAATAAAAATAAGAAGAAAGAAAATGCGGCCGAACAAAAAAACAAGACATCTGACAAAACTGATAAGAATCGGAGTAAAAAAAGAACGTCGAATAGTATGACAGAATCGACTTCGGTTATAACCAAAAGTGGGAAAAAAGGGAAACATTTAAATTGAACGCAAGTAAATTTATAGTTTGACATAATTTATTTTTAGTAATAATGCCCAATTTAAAAAAAATTCATAGTTTGTAATTACCGAATTCGCGGGTATTTATTTAGTTAACTACGCATTCAAAAATCGTTTTCAAAATGGCTAAAACGGTTAATGTAGACGGTCGCCATCTTGTTTGCACACGTGCATGCGCAAACAAAATGGCGACTGGAAGCGCCGCCATCTTAGATACCTTGGATAACATTAATTAAAAAATTTTTATTTAAAGCTGCAATTACAATACTGATTATTACAACACGTTTGTAGACATTAGCTGTATATAAACACTATTCACATACTTTCACGTATTCTTCCTTTTGGACAACCATATTTCACACAGTTGAAGGGTAAGTTTACAGCTATTAGAGAATTTTGTCAACTATTTGGTTTTTAAAAAAACGATATCTTTACCAGGTCTTTTACACAGTACTATTTATACAAATATGTTACTAACTAACGTACCTGTTTGTGTAATTTTATACTTGTGTTGTAAATGTCCTTTCATATCTCTCTCAAAAAGGAATAGGGCGAAGAAGCAAATTTTAAGTTCCAAATTCTGCCATTTGTTAGAAATTCACAATAAGTTAAACCATTATGATAAGCTTCTTAATTAAAATAAAGATGACTTACTTGTTTTTTTTATTGATAAAATCTAATAAAACTTCGTAGCACAAACACGTGTATCCTCGTAGATGTCCCCTTATAACGTCTCTTTGCTTTATCTGCTTAGTACCGTGCTAATTAGCATATTCACAGGCAGTTTTGTGGTCAATCAATAACCCAATAATTGATCAGTAATTTTTCTTATCATACCTTAATATTCTAGATTATGATGATTAATATGTTTTAAAACCAAGAAGTAATTTTTAATAAATTTCTCGAAATCCCTCTTATTCCATTTTTTTTCTTCAAAATTTAATGCGTATGCAATTATACTTACAATTTATTTTCTTCTTCAAGTTTAAAATACTTCCAATTTTTGAAAATCTATTTATAATACTCTAAACCAGTTTTCATTTATTTTTATACTCAAAGTTTTATTTATACAAGTTTTGTTTTTAAAGATTCCATGCTTTCTTTGAATTTCCTATTATATACTTCTTTTTCTCTGTGTAAAATTTTTATATTATTCTGATCAATATTATAAACATTTGTTGTACAATATTCGTGGAAATCAGAGTTGATTCTACGATGTTTTAAATCTGCAACTTTTTAAAATATGTTTTGTTTTATGTATAAAGAATGTTAGAATTGTATTTGACAGTTGTTTTCAGATTAGTAAAAATGTATTCTAATTAAGATCCTTCGGCAAGAACATGTTAATTCAATTTCTACGCACCTTAAAACAGGTATAATTTCAACACTCATGGCTTTAACTTTTCTCCTTGCCTGGCCTACCAAACTGTAATATCATTAGTTATGCGCAATATGTCAAAAAATACAGATCAAATTCCTAAATTAGTGGGATATTTCCAGAAATTTAAAAAAATAAAATAAGTTTTTTGCTTTTGCATCAAATCTTTCGATTATCTGAATTTATATCAACATTATATTTTAATTAATTAAGTAATACTAATTTAGTCATATTACAATTAAGAATTTTGCGGTTATACGATTCATGATATATTCCGGAAACGTACACAAATGACTGTTTCATGAAAATTTATTTATTAATATTCCAGAAAGATTTCTTGCAAAATTATAGTAAGTGATTCTAAATTTTATTGGCTATTCTATTAAGTTTCTGTTTTAATATAGTAACATGCTATGATTGAACTAAACAATTTATTTCAGGAACCATTTAAGTTTTCTCAAATAAAAGCAATTCTCAAGGAAGATTTACAGTTTTATATTGATGTTTGCATTCCAAATACCTGTTCCAAGGATGACTTGCAGAAAATTCTAACATGGGGTAAGTTCATACATTCGCTTATATAAATGTTTGGTTTACTGTTATAGCTTCTTTTACTGTTTAAGCATTTGCTTTTTACTTTTGTCTATAAATATCACGTAAAAAATAGAAATAAATTATCACTGTTATAAAGTAGAACAATGTAGAAATAAATATTTCTATTTAATTCTATCTACAGATAACATTAAATAAAATGCAAGTCGAAATGCTAACAACTCTAGTAAGGTTACATTTATTAACAACACGCGAATGTTAATTCCATAAAAATCTATTCGGAATGTGCCATTATGGCACTTTTGGCACTGTAAGCAACAATAAACCAGTTTCATTTGCATAAACGCACAAGCTACAACCATGTTCTACAAGTAAAATATCTAACAATAAGTTGCGTAACTTTTCCTGCTTTTATGACATTTTATTTTAAAAACATTTGTATTATTAATAAAATTAAATAAATAAAATTGTATTTGGTGCCATCTGTTATGAGATTTTGTTATATAAGAAAATTATATATTTTTAATTATTATAAAGTAGCAAAAGATTTAATTTTGAGGGTACAAGTGAGTTTTATAAAACACTGTAAATGCTAACAACAACTAAAACCTTTAAGTCTGACCTCTCGCGAGATATAACACCTCACGACCCTCTATTTCTCCATTCCCTTAACCTTTTACAATCAAAATTTAACCTATAGCATCAGTGCCCCTTATATAGAAGCTAGTGTATGAAATTTCGTTTTTCTTTATTCTGTCTTGACATATTAAACAAAATAGACACCAACACACACACATACACGCATTCATATATGCATATCCACGAAATATTTTAGCCGTATTTTAATGTTTTTGGGTTAAGGATCTCAAAACGCGGAGATTTGCAAAGAACTCGGAGGATCAAATTTGACACAATTCCATTACTTCCTCTTGTAATGTACTGTACATAACAGCCGGGAAAGTAAAACCACCTGCTGTTGTTGAAGAGTCAATGAACGAATAACGTTGCATCTTCTGGTAATTCGCAGGCAGTGTCACAGTAGTTGTATCCTGTATGGGAAAGTCCTGAAAAATTAGTTCATTATTATCTATATAAGATCAGTATAGCCATCTGTAGTTTAATGCCAGAAAGGTTATCCCGATTATGAGTTGGAAGGCATAGAAATTACCCATAAGACAGTTAAGAATTCGGAGAATTTCGTGAACCCAAAAGGTTTACTGCGAGAATGAAAATGATTATTACATTGTTATAGAAGATTCTGTGGAATGATAAATCGTTTTCATTTCGATGACATGCATAACTATTGCATTTGGACTACGGAAAACACGTTATTTCATCAGATTTTACTGTAGTCGCTTAATTTAAAGTTACAGTCTTGTGTAGAATAACTACCATATTTATTCTTGTACTATTCTTCAATGAAGAAGCTAGTTCTGATGGGCGTGTGGCATGTTCCATGATAGACTAGATATTCGAAAAAATTCTCAATACTATTATACTGAAACTACAATAGTTGCAATGCTTTGTATCAAATATTTTGAAGCAACATGGAGTTTTCGCATATTGGATGGTGCGCAAAGTTTGAGACTATATTTCACCGATTGCACTGTGATTTCTATTGCTTGGATACTTGTTTTCCAAATTATATTGCGTATGAGTTTTGGTGCTGGGTCATTTAAAACTTGTGGTGGTTCGAAGAAATATAAATTTGGCAGTCTTGAAAGACACTATCGCACTGCCTGTGGGAAGCAGGTGTCCTTTCTAAACACTGATCATAGTTATCAGATCTTACACGTATAGAGTGGAGTACATTCAACTGTGTTCCCTATCTCTCTGAGCCCTCTGTTTTGGAAAAATAAAACATGTTTAATAACATTAAAAATTGTATACTCTGAAAAATTCATTTTCAGATTAAAACAAGTAAATATACTCTTTACATCCCACTTCGAGATATTTATTCTGACAAACAAACGATATAACGAAGAATACTAGTGAGGCCTATCCACTGATGAGGCCTAATTGTAAAGGCGAAATGCATTTGGATTGTCTGCATCTTTTGAGAATGAAATTGTTAAAAATAAAGGTTTAGTATTCTTCGTTATATCGTTTGTTTGTCAGAATGAATCTCTTGAAGTCGGATGTAAAGAGTATATTTATGGACATTGCTGTATGCTTCTACGCTTTGGTACTGTCCGTATATTTTCTGCAGCAATTCCGTTCCGGTGGAAAACGACCTTTGAATACTCGTGAGGAACCGCCGTCCTTATAAACGCAAAAATATCATTCACTGGGGCATGAGATTTCTTCATGATTTAATGAGGCATTTTGTCAAGGTCTGGATGATTTCCAACGCTGTCTACAACTCACAGAAGATATTGAGTGTAGTCTTGAGCCATAAAAAGGAGAAAATATTCATCTGAATTTTAAGCTAATTAAATAACTGTAAATGACACAGAATACGCGGAGTTTTTATAGATTATAATACGGATTTTATGAGTTAGCGATAGGTGACCTGAAGTACTTTCCATTGTATTTTACTTAAAGCTGACATTTGTACTATAGTTCTGAAACAAGTCTCGAATAAGCGCCCATAATTTTAATCTATGCAAATGAATAAGGGCCGGGTACTAATTCAAAGAAAAGCGGCAAATGAAAAATAATTTAGATAAGAATATATAAAATATATTACAAGTTATACTTTTCGTTCTTGGAATTTACCCTTTCTCAACGTCAAACTAAAAATAGTTGAATCGACTTTATATTATTTTTATCAAATAAAAGACACGTTTTATATTAACGTTATAATATGTTTTCATTTACTTTTATCATAATTTTTTGTTTACAGTAATCGGAAATGATGTATTAATCGTGGAAGGATGTGCAGAGCTAAATGAAAAGCGAATTTATTCTACATCCCAAATAATTTGCTTGTAAGCTACATTCTAGTGTATTGTGTATTGTTTACATTTCTATAGCAGAAAGTATAATTAATCCTTATACTAAATGATTAATTTTAAATAATTTAATTTAATTATTACATTTATAATATTGCTGATAAAAAATTTTTAATTATGCAATAGTAATTCAATTTTTTCTAACTGGCTAAAGAACTTTTACAATTAACACAACAAGATATGACGAATATCCGAAATAATATTTTTTTTATGTTTTGTCATTAAAAGACCTACAACAGAAATATATTTCCAAATTTCATTATACAATTCAGCGTATATATGTCCTCTTTAGACAAGTCCATTAGTAGTAACGAAGTGTATGCTGAACTGCGACCACTGAACACTGGTAGATGGTTGGTGGTTCGTGTCTGACCACATGAAGTTCTTCAGGTTTACTTCACATATCTAACAGCTAATTAAGGACAAGTAGCGGAGGAAAATTTATCTTCGTTTACTTTATACTGTGAAATCAATAATTTCACAGCATTTACTGGTCAGAGACAGCGCTGTCCTGCCCTATCTGAAATTTGGGACGACATGGCTTTCTGTTCTTGGTCGCTTTGTGCTGCTGGAAATATGTTTTCTTTCTTATGAATTTTTAATATCACGGGCACATTCGCCACTCGATACGTTATGTTTCCATCTTGAAATTCAAGACAACCGCTGCAACCGGTTACTTTGTCACCGTGGTTACTGCGGTAATTACCTCAGAAAAATCGGTGACCTCATAATTGCGATTTTTAAACGCGGTTGGTTATTCAGGTTATATGTTCTAAACGCTCTGGCTAAATTCTAACCGTAGAACCAGCAGTTATCGGTAACACCGGTTAGAATTTTC